TGATGAATAAAGTTGCTAAAAGTCTGTGTCAGGTTTTTGTGTGGACATAAACTTTCAACTCCTTTAGGTGGATATGAAGGAGTGTGCTTGCTGGGTGGATTATTAGGATATGTTTTAGTTTTGTAGGAGTCTGCCAAATTGTCTCCTAAAGTGGCTAGACTACTTTGCATTCCCACCAGCAATGTATTTAATGTGAGCTGCCCTTGTTCCACATCTTTGCCAGCATTTAGTTGTATCAGCGCACCTAATTTTGACGTTTTTAATGGGTGCAGTGGCTTGTGGTTGGTTTAGTTTGCATTTCCTTGATGACAGATGATCTGTCACATCTTTTCATGTGCTTGTTTGCCACCTGTATTGTCTTCTTTGATGAGGTGGTTCTTAAGGACTTGGCCAATTTCTAAGAGTTGTTTTCTTACTGTTGACTTTTAAGAGTTCTGTATATGTTTTGTCTATTAGTCCTGTGTTAGATATGTATTTGCAAATATTTTCTCCCTCTCTGTGGCTATATTCTAATCTCTTGGTGATGTCTTTTACAGAGCAAAAACTTTTAATTTAATGAAGTCTATCTGGTCAATTATTTCCTTCACGGATATAATTGAGGCTTGGACTTCAAGAGATTGAAGGTAAGAGAGTACCTCTTTGAGTTAAGAGAGTCCAAACTTTTCAAGAAAATGTTTCTCTGAAAGGATGTGGGCCTTCAATTCAGAAAGTATCTTGAAACTTTGTGAAATTAGAAAATAAAAGCAAAAATGTTCGACAGCAGAATCGGGGTAAAGATAAATTGAGTTTTGATGATAGTATGAAGCCCTGAATCTATCCATACTTAAGTCAAATACCTCCGGCCTTTCCATTTTTGTGATTAAATATATTTGTTTTGTTTTAGACTATTTGGGTAAGAATTATTTTCATCTGTGAGCAAACTGATGAAATCATATTCATTGTTCTAATGCTCTATTTATGTACTGTGTCCTATGATTAAAGGCGTACAAACACCTCCCTTCTCCCTTCCCCTCAAAAAGTGAATTACCAGGTATCACTGCTCTCTTTAAAAGTTGTCTGAATAATTCTAGCCAAGATACCAACTGTGTGTTTAGAGTAGTTCACAGATTGGATGTGAGGGACTGATAAGATCAAGGGTTCCTGCTCTGCACAGCAGAATGTGGGGAAAGCCATTAAGGTCAGTCCAAGATAAAGCCCTTGAAAAGAATTGAAAGTCGAAAGTTGAAAAAAGTAAATTCAAATTATAATTTCATGTAAACCAGACAAAAGCAGAAATGACTGATAAAAAATCCAAAAAGTTCCCTAAGTAGGGAAACTGTAGTATTGTTTTCTTCTTTTTTCTGGTATAGAAATGCCCACGTCAGTAGTCAGGTTGGAAGTCATTTATATAACGTATACTTCTATGATATATATATTTAAATATATATGTCATATTTATAAAATTATATGTTTATAGAATTACATAGTGGAGTAAATGTAGAATATGTGGACTGTAATGCATAGTATGCTAATTTGTGTCGCAAATATGAAACATAACATAGAGATGCACATTTGTAATTAAAAGGGAATTATTAGGAAATTCAAATTAAAGGAGGTAAAAGTTGATCAGATCTGAGGGACACTTTTTATCTTTGTCTTTGGACATTTTACCTTTGTGATAACTGAAGAACACTGCATTATTTTTGAGCTATGAGAAACTTCATGAATACAGCAATCATATTTTATTATTCAAAATAGTATATATTTTTTCTTATAGTGTAAAATACACAATCATTTGAACAGCTTTTAGAAATGACTTTTTAAAATTTTAAACAGATAAAATGGGCCCTGGCAGGCGTAGCTCAGTGGATTGAGTGCGGGCCTGGGAACCACATGATCGCGGTTCAATTCCCAGTCAGGGCACATGCCTGGGTTGCAGGCCAGTTCCCAGCAGGGGACTCAACGAGAGGTAACCATACATTGATATTTCTCTCCTTCTCTCCTTCCCTTCCCGTCTAAAGATAAATAAATAAAATCTTTAAAAAATAAATAAATAAAATAAAAAATAAAAAGCCAGTATATAAAAAAATAAACAGATAAAGTATGTAAAAATGGGTGCATGCTATATAATGTAATCCTTTATATTTAGATGCATTAGATTTGCAAAACAAAACAAGACAGTACTACCAGGGGGGTTTGTTTAAAAGCACAGTAAAAATAATATCTGCATGCATTAAACACTGAAGCCATCTTGATATAAACTTCTTTTTAAAGGTTTTATTTATTTATTTTTAGAGAGAGGGGAAGGGAAGGAGAGAGGGAAGCATACATGTGTGATTGCCTCTCATATGCCCACAACTGGGGACCTGGTCCACAACCCAGGCATGTGCCCTGACTGGGAATGGAACTGGTGACCCTTTGGTTCACAGGCCCACACTCAGTCCACTGAGCTACACCAACCAGGGCTTGATATAAGTTTTATCTGACTAAATAATGAAGTCTTGAATGTTTATTAGAGAAAACAATTAGTTGATTTGTAACCAAACTAAAGAGGGACTCAGCTACCTGCTGCCATCAAAAGGCAAACTCTGGAGGCAGAGGCTGGTGAGAACAGAAAGGGTTTTTATTCAAATGCACAGGGAACTGGAAGGAAGGGGCACTCTCAGTCATCAGGCTCATCTTGTCCATAACACACAGACAAAACCCCACCATCCCCCGAAAAAAAAGAAGGCAGTGCCCAGAGTTCCTGCTCCATTTTAAAGTACCATCCTTTGAGGGATTTTGAGGAACAAGTATGAAAGACACAGGGATGAGGACTGGGGGGGGGGGAATGGGAGGGAGGGGGGAGACGGGACGGGGGGTGGGATGGGAGAAATAGATTAAAAAAATGTACTTGAAAAGTAACTAAATAAAATTTATTTAAAAAAATAATAAAGTACCATCCTTTGGAGCCCAAGGCAGCTAAGTGGTCATCCAGGTAGCTTAGTCTATTCCCAGCTGCTGTACAGCTTCAGGCCCCCTCCTGGAGTCTGTGTGTGGTGCTGGCACCACCATTGGTAATGCGGCTTCTAGCAGCAAGAACCCTTTGCACCTGGGTGGCGGAGCTGGCAAAGGCACTGGCGAGTGCTCCACTAGGTCAGAGAGAGAGAGACTTCTTCCTAGAGGCCATGGCCACACAACTACAGTCACGTGGCCCTACACGACTACAGTCACGTGGCCCATGGAGAGGGCAGGCCATAACCAAGAGAGTTTCCTTTGTTTTCCTGGGTTTATATTAGTTTCAGGTATGAAATGGACCAGGTGCTTCCTCATAATAACCAGTTAAGTTCCCAGACTTTTGCCTGCTCTGGCAAGGTCTGCCCCTTGACCAATCTCTATTTTTCCACAGGCTAGACTGACAGGTCTCTTTGGTCCAACACCTCTCCCTGTTGGCATTCTGACCTCTGTGGCCCATGTGCCTGCCTTCCCTGGTACCACACCCAATCAGGTACTGGCAGTGGGTAAGAGGGCTCTTTTCCTATTCAATTATCTTGCTAGCCTTGCATGTTCTCAGTGCAAAACTTCCTTGAGATTCAACATCTTTGTCATGGCCCCAGGTAGTTTGTGAAGTTATTGTCTGGCCACTCGCCATGCCCTCAGTGCCTTGATTAGGAGCACGGCTAAGTGTGGAAGTGGATCCAGCTGCATCTCCTGGGTAGCCCCTCCTTTTCCTGACCTTAGTCCGGCCAGCATCTTTTGGTATCAAATTCACTAATGTGCTGTTTATATGTCCTTGGTGGCAACTTGCTGCTTGACCGAAGGAGACTTTACCCTTTATTCGAAGCTATTACTATCCATGTATAAATGACAACAGAACAGAGTTTACAAAGGATTTTGATTTCCAAAATTCTCCAATTCTCATTTTAAGTCAGTTACTTATGTGCTGGATATTTAAATTAAGGATTTAAAATTTGTCTTAGGTGAACAAATTAATACTATTTTGTAATGATGTAAGTTTTATGCTATGGGATGAAAATGATTTGTAAATGCAAGCTAGGACTTTTCATATTGTCTTGAAACATCAGCTGGATTTTATAGTTTACATCAGCTGCACCCTGACTTCAGATGAATGATCTAGAGAATAGCAGATGTTTCAATAGGAAATCAGCATGCATAAGCTGGGTAATTAAAGATATAGTCAGTGAATAGTGAATGCCATTTAACTAAATTGAAGAAGGTAATTCATATCTTGAAATTAAATCATGGGGAGTAGGGTGGGATTAAGTGCCAAAAAGTGAGTCCTTGAAGGATTTTGAGTAGTGGAGTAATATACTGAATTAATTCATAGGAATTATCAATACTGAAGTGAAGAATGCAGTGGAGGTAAGAAAAAAAAAAACAACCCTGAGAGTTGGATGGACTTTATGAAAAAGGAAGCAATGGTGATTCGGGATTGATTAGATGTAGCATATGAGAGAAAATATGAAGTAAAAATTGGGTTCAATCTTTCAAGCCTGATGAACAGCAAGAATAATGGTACTATTGCTAGAGAGTGGTCACAAAGCTAAACTAAATGGTTGAAGTGATTAGTTGTTTCTAGATGGCAAGTTCAAATGTAAGTGTGAAGTGTGAGGTGAACAGTACAGAAACTGAAATGTCTAAGAGGCTGTTGAGACACCAGATGGTGTGCTGCTCAGAGACACCGTCAGAGGAGAAAAAGTGCAGATCTGGAATCAGTGAATTAACTCCAGGGAAATGCTAAAGCGCTGAGAATGAACAGTGTGTGAATTTTTGGTAGAACCTTTCTGATAATTTTCTTTTCCTCTTCTATAGAAATAACATGATTTTTTTTACAAGTAAGAATTACTGTAGCATGCACAAATCTTAATGATGAATGGATGGGTTTAAGGAGGTTTAAGTACTTTCGGTAAGAAAAAATTTTATTAAACAATTAAATTAGGGAGTACATAAGCAGACTTGCCTTTAGTTTGCCATTAAAAACTTTTCTAGGAACTTTCTTATCATGATCTATGTTTAACACATAATTTATTCAACCACCTTTATTGATATAAAAGGTCATTAGTGGGCAAACAGTTAAATCAGACAGAATCAGGCTGGCACATGACAGAATTGACTCTTCTTTGTTGAAACATGGTTTGGCTCAAGGTCCACTGGTGTAGTGGTTAATATACAGGGAGAAGTATGTCTAGGAAGGGCAGCACCTAATAGAATTCTGCTGTTATCAGGTCTTTCCAAACGCACAAGTGAGGAGTCTTTATCAGAGGAAGGTGCTTGTCACCATTTTAAATGTTAAAATCCCAAAGTGCTTGTTTTTTAATGGGGCTGTATCTCTTACTCTGAGCATGGGCTATACAGGAGATCATCCTCATGTATATTATATACATGTCTCTGAGCAAAACAAATAAGTAACATTATATTATGAAATAGATGATGATGAAAAAAACACAACAGATTGATTTGATGTGGCCAGCAGTCTGATAATTTGTAGTTAAATGGTAAATAGAAAGGGACGAAGAGAATAAATAAATTCATAGTAGTCAGTTAATAAATTACAGCCTTAGGATAAACAATTTGACTTAGACTAGAAAAGGAATGGTGATGAAAATGTATTAATAACAGGTAATATATGCATAAGAAATTCATGAAAATATTAATTAAACAGAATTTTTAAAAATAGAAATCATAATGAAAAGCTTCATCTATAATGTTTAGATGTTGTAATGATACCCTATTTCCACTGACTGCTTCTTTCTTTTTCTTTTAACTTTAATTAATCTTCCTTTTGACATTCTTTTGACGAAACCTACAAAAGGAAAAGAAACAAATTTATGCATGATAAAAGGATTTATTATGTTACTTTTTCTAAAATGTCCTCATTATCTTTTAATATTTCACATAACAAATGTGACTAGTTTAAAATTTTATATATCTTTGTATAGGACAACCTATTTCTAAGGAAGTCAGTTTGCATATATAAAAGTTAGGTAGAATGAATGAACATGTTTATCTTTATTATTTACTTTCAGTTAGATGTTCATGATCATTTCATTAAAAACATAAAGATGTGGCTGTGTATGACTGGTGGAATATAGATTATTTTATTTACATAATTAACATTATTCTATAAATGTGTAATTTTTATATTCAGGAGAAAATATTTAACTTTGTGCATTATAGAAAGCTTAAATATATTAGTATAATCCTTTAAAATGAAAATTTAGTATGTAAATATTAAAAGAATAAAATTATTTTTAAATTAATTATTTTTCTATGAAGATACATTAAAAGAAATAGCAGGTAATATTCAGCAATATTATCTTAATGTAGTTGAAAAGGGAACATTTATTAGATAAATTATAACACTTTGTTTCTTATAAATAGAGCTACTTTTATATTTTTCATAGATTAAAATACATTTATCATTTCAATAAAATTGTTTTCTTAAACATTAGTGAATTAATGTGAAGAATGTCTTCTCTACCTTTTCTGCAAGCCCTCAGACATGATCTTTTGGAAGTAAAATTGTTTTCATTCCCTCCACATCCACTGTAATTAAATGGGAGACACGTCCCAGTAACTGAATTGTAGTAGAATCTTCTCTCATTTGCTTTACACAATCCTCTGTCCGCTGGGGTCAGACACCAGTAGGGGCTGTGATAGCCTATGAACATGAAGAAAACATAGTGAGGCATTATACGATAGTTCATCTGAGACTCTCATATTATTGTTTATAGATGAGTGCTGTGGCATTTTAACCTAAATAAATAAAAGCAGTACTTAGTAAAAGTCATGTATTTCAATTCCACAAAAATGCTTAACCAATCTCTATGTGTCTCCTAGACTGAGAACTCTAATAAATGAAAAAGCAGATACATTTGCTGAGGGAAACAACTATGGGTACTGTTTATACACACACACATACACACACACACACACACAAACAAAAAACTAGTACATAGCAAAAGCAATAACTATTAAACAATTTAACTTTTGATGGTTTGTTAACAATATACCCTAAAAAAACTATGAATATTTACATATCATTTGTTCATGAATCAACTTTTAAAAAGTCCTGATGAACAGCATCCTTATTTGTTGTCTGATGTAACTGAAGCTGAGGGAGAGTTTCTTCACTTGACTCACACGCTTTTGAATGATGTAATATAATCACGATTTGAAGTATAGGAATTCAAGTGTAAAAAGCTCTAAGCTTCAGAGAAGGAGCACAGAAGGAATGGTTTGGCTTAATAAGGAAGTTTTCTCATAAATTGAGACATCAGTTCTGGATGAGTTACACACTTTTGCAAAGGGAAGTGCACAGCCGAAGCCAGTAAGGTAAGACCCTTGCATGTTAAAACCAGACAGACAGACTGGTCTGGCAGTGGGATTAGACACTCTCAAAAACAGAAGATAAAGATGCAACGAGGGTAACTCATTTCCTTAAGGCAAAGCAGAGAAATCGATTTGGCCCAATGGTAGCATTTACCTTGTTTGGGAATTTCTATCAGTAAGAGGAAATTGCTGCTCCTTAGCAGCAGGGCCGAACTGCTTGATATTACTCATGAACCAACATTGGTGTTGTCGGACAGTGAGACATCAGTGTAAGAAGACTTCGGTGGCTTTGCCAAAGGGTGAGATGAGGGACAACAAATGCAGACCAATATTCAATATTGGCAGGAGATAGAACTTTGAGGAATCCCATAGCCAAGGAGGACAAATAGGAGACAGAAGTAAGCTTCCTGATAGCAAGTGAACCCCACATGAATAGTCTATAAAAGACCATAAATAAAGTGAAACAATTTAAGGTAAAAATTAAGTCTTAATTGGTATATTTATGTTTACTGCTTCTTGTCTTGTATATATTTAAGTAAAGTTTAGAATGTCTTGATATAATGGTGCATATAATAAGAGCAATTATGGAAAATATAAGAGGAATTGGAATTTTGTGGGAAGAACGTGTGAGAAGACATTTTAGAAGGGTGATATACTTTGCCAAATACAAAACCTGTAATCACATAAAGAATATTAAGAAACTCCCAGGATCTATAAAACTAAGACAATATCCAAAGTCATGTAGTCTAATTTACACTTTTGTGCACTCTATTTGGGAGGTGTAGTGCATGACCATTGCCATTACACATCAAAACTAAAATGTATTGGATGAGAATGCGTTCCTAACTTTCTAGAAAATGCTGACATCTGTCACCAACAATAGCTTATGCCAGAGGAATTTTCTAACAGTCTAGGAGAGATATATGCAGTTGAGCCTCACCCCACCCCACTGTGTAACTGTTCCCATGTGTGTGCTATGGGTTCTCATGCACCTGAAGGCTAGGGTGTGACAGTTATTGTTACCGCTTCCATCTCCATGAACTTCCAGAGCCATCACCAATGTTTAGAAAAAAATACCCTATAAACAAGTAGCCTGATTTGGGAAATAGTGAAACAGAGGAAATTTCTATTCTTTTTTGTTTTTTTTCATTCTAGCAAGCACCTACTGGTACATTATAGCAGATACATATGATGAAATATGACTCATACATCTATTTCACTTTAGCATTTTATACACAAGATATATTAGCCCACAGAAAGTTGCAGATACTACATGAAGATGTACTTTGTAAGTGGTACACTGCTCTATACATATTAGTTATTATGACTTAATAGCAATGCCATCCAGTATTTGACAATGTCTGCCACTGAACAGATCTACACAGAACAAAGGGAAAGGTTCCTTATATTGTCAAACAGGCAAGAAGAAGGCAGAGAGTGGGTTGATTTGAAAGCAAAGGTACAGTTGACCAGCACAGATGCCATCAGAGTTTCACCACCAACTAAATTCTTTGGCATCGCATTGCCTCTACCCTAAACTCTTTTTTTTAATAGATACAGAGAATTTTTAAATTAATTTATTTAATTGTTGTTCAAGTACAGTTTTCTCTTTTTTACTCCTATCCAGTCCACCCCCAATGCTCCCCACCTCCATTCCATTTCCACCCCCCTTAGGTGTTGTCCATGTGTCCTTTATACTAGTCTCTGTAAATCCTTCCCCTTTCCCTCTGGAATTCCCTCCCCTCTCCCCTCTGATCACTGTCAACCTGTTCTCTATTTCAGTGTCTTTGGTTATATTTTGCTTGCTTGTTTGTTTTGTTATTTAGGTTCCTGTTAACAGTGAGATCATATGGTTTTTGTCTTTCACCACCTGGCTTATTTCACTCAGCATGATCCTCTCCAGTTCCATCCAGGCTGTTGCAAAGGGGAGGAGCTCCTTCTTTCTTTCTGCTGCATAGAATTCCATGGTAGTGGGATTGCAGACTGGTACAACCACTATGGAAAACCATATGGAATTTTCTAAGAAAACTAAAAATGAATATGCCTTTTGACCCAGCAATTCCACTGCTAGGATTATATCCTGAGAACCCTGCAACACCAATCCAAGAGGACCTATGCACCCCAATGTACATAGCAGCACAATTAACAATAGCCAAGAGCTGGAAGCAACCTAGGTGCCTGTCAGTAAATGAATAGATCCAAAACTCTTTTAGTGTCTCTGAATCATCAGGTGTTTGGTATGTTGCTTCTGACAGCCTGGGATCTGGTGTGCAGACTTGAATTATCCCTCTCCACAGATACCTGCTCCTATTCAGAGTGCCTGTTCGTGACTGACCTGGTGACAGTTTATCTCACTTTATTTGCCCTGATTTTAATTATTACCTACACAGGTCATCAAACACTAGTCACCTTTGATCCAGATCAGAGTTGAGGTTTCTAACATTACAAATAAAGATATTTTGATAGCGGATTAAATTTGAAATTAATCACTAAGGATGTAGTATTATAAATAGTTAACATTTAAAAGTTTCAAATAATAAGATAAATTATCATCAACAGGGAAGTTTTTATAAGGCCATTTTGCTTCAGCACATAAATGATACCTGACATATAAATTAATATATTTCTCCTCAAATCATTTTAACTCTAACCAGGGAAATATTATTGACTATGCTAGAATAAACAACAGCATGATTAACATAATGAAGCAGATGGTTTCTTAAGGACATTTTAACTCTAAAATTCTTTGAGTCTTGGATTATCATCTGGTTTAATCATCCAAAGTGAGAAAATTAAATTTTTTTGTAACCTATAAGAGATAAGCTTGTTTGTTTTCAGATAACATGTTTATTCTAGATAAACATAGCACTTAACTGTTCAGAATCCAGATTTGGATATGTACAATGAAATAAATGTAAGGGCTGAAATAATTGCACAATGGGATTTTTTGACTCTAGATTATAATTATTCACTTAAAATTTTTTAAGATTTATTTTATTTTATTTTTAGACAGACAGGAAGGGAGGGAGAAAGAGAGAAGGAGAGAAATATCAATGTGTGGTTGCCTCTCTTGTGCCCCCTACTGGGGACCTGGCCCACAACCCAGACATGTGCCTTGACTGGGAATTGAATTGGTGACCCTTTGATTTGCAGGCTGATGCTCAATCCACTGAGCCATACCAGCCAGGGCTAGTCACATAAATTTAAGATAGAATTAAAAGACACGAAGCTGGCTTTTGTTCATTTTCTAAGGGACTTTAATTACCAAATATATTCTCTCTCAATCTTTCTGTTAATAACCAGTTGAGTAGTTTCCATTTAGAGAGTCTGTGATAGGTTTCAGAATTCAGGTAGTTCCTTGCAGGAATGATCACCTAGTATGACTGCTAAATTGTGAGGTGGCACTTCAAAGTCGGTGTCATATGTGAGCTAGTTTATGGAAACTTGCTTTTAAACTTACACAGTAAACTTTGAATCTTATACTCACTGTAAATCCTTACTGTGATGTCATCTTTCTTATTGTTCCCATTGCACATGGCTATTTAGCTTTTGATTTTACAAACCAATTTGGGTTTTATGCATCACATTGTGGCTTGTAAATTATTTTTGTCTTCTGAGACTGTTTTATGTAACTGAAGAATTAATCTTTCTTTAAATATTAAGTTCTTTCTTTTTATTCCCCATAATTTTGAGTGAAGAAAAACATATATTTTTGTTTTCTAATTACAAATTATCATTGTAAACTGTTCAAATATTACAAAAGTAACAAATAAAAACAAAAGTTCTTCATAATTTGACCCCTGTCCTTTAACTGCTATGAATGGTTTGGTATCTATCTACTCTCAATTTTTTTGCATATGTAAACATATATTACTATACCATTATGTCTTATTATTATACTTCATACTATTTGCTAGATATGTTTTTATGTTCATATGTATACCTTATTTTTTAAATATATGCATGGTATTTTTTTGAATCAACTGCAGATGTTTAATGTAGTACACTCCATTACTCATGTAGTGGTATATAGATTATTTCTATTTTTTTTCAATTCCAGACAATGGTTCATGAACATACTTCCACATAGGTTCAGATATTTATAGAGGAGATATTTTGAAATTAGAACTGTTCAAAAGCTATATTCCATTTGTTTTTTTGTAGATGCAGCTGAATTTTCCACTAAAAGTTCATGCATATTTATATGTCTGTAGTGTTTAAAAGTGCCTAAAATTATTTAACAAAATGTAGACCGTACTGCAATATATTTATTTACTATTAATTACTTGTTTTCTTTTCATACCCACAAAAGTAGAAGAGTACTATGTA